GAAACTTTAAATACGAGAGATGTAGCAACTTCGATAGCAGGTAGAAAACAATTGAAACATAAAAGTAGACTTTATGATCTTCCTCGAACAGATAATGAAGTTAATATAAATGGTTATAATCCTGTTCTTCTTACTGCCTGGGAAGGTAATATGGATATACAATTTATTGGTGAAAAATCATCGCTGCTTACATGGTATATTACTTAATATATGAATAAAGCGGGAAAAAGTGAGTTATCTGATACTATTCTTGATAGTAAGAATAATAAAAACAAATCGTTAGCGAGTTATCTTTGGAATATCGCTTTACGATTTACGAATAATAGAGAATGTGGAGCTCTCGAAGCTGCTGATACACTGCTAAGTATTCCTTTATATGGAACTGATCGAAACACGACTATTAAATGGTTAGATGTTAACCAAATACGATATAGAAAATTAAAAAATCGCAAAGAAATTGAAGCTCTTGATGCCGAATCTACAGATATATTTTATCCATCTTTAATAGATAATTATTATCCATATAGACCAAACGAACTAGAAAATATATCTCTTTATGAATTTGCGTAAAACTACATCTTGTACAAGCATTGCAATATCATGAAAGATTACAAGAATTGCAAAAAGCATTTGAAACTGCAAAAGATTTAGTTCAGCAATGCTTAGATGATTTACAAAAACAGCAATCTCAGGATGATCCTGAAAATCCGATAGGTGTTCAAAATATAGAGAAATCGATGTACCTTAAATGATAGCAAAATTAAATACGGATCAAAAAAGAGTATTCGATAGAGTTATTAATACTGTAGATTCAAATAAATCAATATTACGATTATATGTTAGCGGAGAAGATGGTACTGGAAAAAGTTTCTTAATCAAGACTATTAAATGCTGGATAAAACAAAATCTTAACAAAGATACTGCTGTAGCAGCACCTACTGGTATAGCAGCATTTAATATAGATGGTTTGACAGTTCATAGATTGCTTCAATTACCCGTTGAACATGGTCATACTCCTAAGTATAAACAACTATCTGATCATTGAAAGTTTTACGAGCAGATCTTAAAGATGTTATTTTTTTTGTAATTGATGAAGTGTCAATGATATCTAATTTGACTTTAATGTATATACATCTTCGATTGTCTGAAATATTTGACACTGGTGATTGCGATGATTGGTTTGGTCAAAAGCACATTCTTTTATTCGGAGACTTGCTTCAACTACCTCCTGTACACGAAGATCCTATCTTTGTGCATTTATCCGATGAAAGAATTGCTAAACATCTTGGTTCCTTAAGTGCTGTTAATTTATGAACTACATTATTTGACTACGATGAATTGACAATCAATATGCGCCAGCAAGGAGATAACTCTTATCGCGAATTACTATCAAGAATTCGTATCGGTTTATTGACAAAATCTGATTGTAAAATTCTCGAAAATAGACAAATATCTTTCAAAGGTGATTCTTTCGAATCAAGATTAAACGAATTATGTGATTTCATTAACAATCTGCCATCAGATACCGTTTGTTTACTGCCTACTTGTCGTATGTGTGATGTTCTCAATGATGCAATGTTAAGTCGTATTGTTTCTAAAGAAGTATTATTGATTGCTGAAGATACGATTGAATATATTCCATATGTAAAAAAGAAAGTATTAAAAGTATTGTCAAATAATGATGATGATAATAATTCTAGAACAGCTGGGCTTTCAAAACAAATAACAATTAAAATTGGAGCAAAAATTATGATACGGCGTAATATTGATGCTACTTTGGGACCTGTGTAAACGGTACAATTGCTACAGTGATTTCAATTGTACAAGATATATCTACTGATTACGTAGAAAATTTAACGCGGGATTCGTACGCTTCCCGAAAGATGGGAGAAAGTAGTGGCCAGCGATGGACAATACTTTGAATCATAAATGTATAACCAGTTTTTTCCAATAAAGCCTCGAATTTCGGAAAAAAAACGGCGGAAGCAAAGTTGTACACTTAATATTATGGACATTGGTAACTCCGTATTTAATTGTGGTCAAATTTACGTTGCACTATCGTGAGTAACATCTCTAGAAGGATTACATTTGATTAATTATGATCCTTCATCGGTAATAGTTAGCAAAGGAGCTATCCTCGAATATAATCGTCTAAAAAAGATTTATAAATCCAAAGCAGAAATGATTACTGTTTCAAAAGAGCGTTATCGCAAAGTAAAAGATGTCCTATGGGCATTACCAATGTTCAAAATTGAAACATTAAAATTTCGTTTCTAAATTTCGCCGTTATATTCAAACGATTGCCTCAGAAACCAAAACACGAGCGAGAGCCAAAAGCGTCGCGATCACCCGCTCAATGCGTGATCGCGTTATTCTATAGTGAAAAACCGTGACAAACATCTGGTTTGAGAACGTTCGATACCGAAAAAACTTGTTATTCACATCGGCAGAGCGCGAGTTTCCGCAGTCGGTCGATTTAGTCTGCCTACAACAACGATTCGAGCCGGTCGAAATTCATCGATTTTTCGCATTCGCATTTCACTTATTCTCGCTCGTGTCGCGTACGCAGTAGGCTTACTCGTCTCAAATTCGGTCCAAATTGTCTCGCATAATATCGCACTCATATTCTCGCGGCGAGCAATTTGGTCACATCTCAATTTGTGTTCTTTCATTATTTAGTGCTCAGATATTGTGAAAGTTAATTGTTTTGAGTTCGAGAGTCGACGCTCGTTATCCGCATCGCGAATGTCCTCTGCCTCGCGCTAAATTCCATCCAGCGTTCGCGATGAAGATTTCCGTTCTCGCGAGAGTTTCTAGCAATAAGCTCATAATCAAGATTTCCGAACCGCGAAAAAGCGCAGTCATTAACAGGACATTTTGAAGATTTCCGTCGGATCAAAAAACTCGGAACAATCTCACACCAGCTATGGTGCGTTCCCTGATCTCAATGCTCAAGAAATACTGGAATCAATTCTCCAATGGACACGCCAAGGTGTCGCGGAAAGTCCCGGAAGCCATCCGGTCATCTTTCAGCTACTTCAAGGACAACCATTACGACGCGTCTCAAGTAGTCTATGAAACGGCAATGGACCACATGGCGGAGATCCTGGAGGAAATGGAGCCGGTCGTGAGTCCAAACCCATCTCTGTCCTCGACGAGGCTGCCCGCGGACGCGTCCGCGTTTTCATTATCGCATCTTTCGCCCATCAAATTGCCTCCGTTCGACGACAATTACGACGAATGGGAACAATTTCGCGATCGATTTACGACACTAATTCGTAAAAATTCGGATCTAAATGATTTCGCTCGCATGCACTTTTTATCATCGTGTCTTAAGGGTAGCGCGCTGGACTGTATCGCGAATATTTCAATAACGGCGGCTAATTTTGAAATCGCATGGAAAACTTTGACTTCACGGTACGACGACAAAAGGCGGTCGATAAACAAACATCTCTCGACATTGCTCAGCTTATCATCTATCACGCGCGAATCTGCCACCGAGATGCAGACTTTATACCACAAGGTTAATATCGCAATGGCATCATTAAAAGCCCTAGATCGAAAACCGGAGGAACTCTGGGAAGATATTGTCGTTCATATCGTTGTGCAAAAATTAGATCCGTTAACGCGCAAAACTTGGGAGATAAGCATAAGCCATAAAGATGCCCCGCCGTCTTACGAGACTTTAAGCGAATTTATTAAGTCTCGCACTCGCGCGTTAAGGGCAGCCGCTCCCGGGTCAGCCGTTAAAACCGGTGTAAAACCAATCGCAGCATCGCGAATTCATGTCGCAACCGCATCCGCTAAAGCACAATCGCAGTGCTCGCTGTGTCCATCTCGACACTTCATTAATGTATGTCCTTCGTTCTGCGAGTCAACGTCGCGATATCGTCAAGTAACAAAAACGTTGTTTTAATTGTTTGAGCGCATGGCATTCCGCACATGAATGCAAAAGTAAATATTCTTGTTGGGTTTGTCACAAGAAGCATCATTCGATGCTACACATTGACGCGGATTCTAGCTCAAGTGCATTGAAAAATGCACAGTCTAATTGCTCGTCGCCTCAAGCGTCGGATGCGACGCCGGAGGTAAACTCGTTGAGCGCCTCAACCGTAACGCGAAAGCGCTCACCCGTCCTCTTAGCGACGGCCTGGGTAACAGTTCGCAGTCCGTCGGGTCGCACCGCTGTCGTTCGAGCTCTCCTCGATCAGGGCTCGGAAATGACATTCATTTCGAAAAGTTTAGCGCAAATCTTGCGCGTAAAACGCATTCGTATGCCGATTTCCGTTTCCGCCGTCGGCGGGATAAACGCGGGGACTTTTCAACACGCGACACACATATTTATTTCTCATCGAGAATCTCTCGCTCCGTCGCTTTCAACCACCGCGCTCATTCTGAAGTCGCTAACCTCTTATACTCCGAGAAGACACATGGATCTCTCGTCACTTTCTTATCTCTCCGATTTACCGCGAGCAGATTCGGATCCGACGAGTTCCGATCCGAATTCCGCACATGAATGCAAAAGTAAATATTCTTGTCGGGTTTGTCACAAGAAGCATCGTTTGATGCTACACATTGACTCGGATTCTAGCTCAAGTGCATTGAAAAATGCACAGTCTAATTGCTCGTCGCCTCAAGCGTCGGATGCGACGCCGGAGGTAAACTCGTTGAGCGCCTCAACCGTAACGTGAAAGCGCTCACCCGTCCTCTTAGCGACGGCCTGGGTAACAGTTCGCAGTTTGTCGGGTCGCACCGCTGTCGTTCGAGCTCTCCTCGATCAAGGCTCGGAAATGACATTTATTTCGGAAAGTTTAGCGCAAATCTTGCGCGCAAAACGCATTCGCATGCCGATCTCCGTTTCCGCCGTCGGCGGGATAAAAGCGGGGACTTTTCAACACGCGACACACATATTTATTTCTCATCAAGAATCTCTCGCTCCGTCGCTTTCAACCACCGCGCTCATTCTAAAGTCGCTAACCTCTTATACTCCGAGAAGACACATGGATCTCTCGTCACTTTCTTATCTCTCCGATTTACCGCGAGCAGATTCGGATCCGACGAGTTCCGATCCGATAAATCTCATAATCGGAGCCGATCTCTATAGCGACATCATTCGCGACGACATTCGAAGAGGAAGCGTCGGGCAACCCTTCGCTCAGAACTTCATTTTCGGATGGATAATATCGGGACCTCTCACGCTCGAGAGTAACGATCCCTCTCAGTCGACAATGACTTCCGTTCATTGCAATCACGGTAGCATTTCCGCTCATCACACTATTAGCTCTCCCTTTCTCGAAGAAGAACTTCGTCGCTTTTGGGAAATTGAAGAACTCCCACGACAATCAATTCTTACGCCGCAAGAACAACAGTGTGAAGAGCATTTCTGCTCGACGCACTATCGCGACTCCGACGGCCGGTACATCGTTCGCCTGCCGTTCAAAACGAGTCCTCCGATTGATATCGGTAATTCAAGATCTTGCGCCGAAAAAATGGTAAATTCGCTAGTACGGAGATTTCGCGATAAACCCGAGTTAGCGACAGAATATTCCGATTTTATCTCCGAATATCAACGTCTTGGGCATATGCTGCCATCACCGATGCCTCAAGATGATATCGAACAAACGTTCTATCTCCCGCATCACGGGGTGATCCGGGAAAGCAGCTCAACAACACGTCTTCGCGTCGTCTTCAACGCTTCGAGCGTTACTTCGAACGGTACTTCACTCAACAACCATTTACACGCCGGTCCAAAATTACAAACCGATCTCATGTCGGTAATATTACAATGGCGCCGACATAAATACGTGTATTCATCCGACATCGCGAAAATGTATCGCCAAATTTTAGTCGATCCTCGCGATTAAATTATCAGCGGATACTATGGAAAGCAACTCCTTCGGAACCGTTAATCGATTACCAATTATTAACAGTCACGTACGGAATGTCATGTGCTCCGTTTTTGGCACTTTGCGTCTTAAAACAACTAGTCATTGACGAAGGTCAGCACTTTCCGCTCGCAATTCCTATCCTGAGAGATAATATTTATGTCGACGACTTACTTTTTGGAGCTGACAATACGACTCGAATTCGGCAAGCGCGCGATCAATTAAATTTAATGTTAAAGTGCGGCGGATTCGTATTACGGAAACGGGCTAACAATTCGCCCTCTCTCCTCAAGGATATCGACATAGCAGATCACGGTTTAGCTACGAAAAAACCTCTTGCTGAAGACGAACAAATTAAAATTCTCGGAATCGGATGGAATCCGGCAAACAATATTTTCGACTTTCGCGTGTCGCTGGCTGATAACGCCCCATCTCCCAGACGTCGAGTGGCGGCACGTGCCAACAGAGGAAAACCCCGCGGATTGCGCTTCGCGCGGAATATACGGCGATGAAATTCTCAATCGTGAGCCTTGGTGGCAATGCCCTCCATGGCTACACTCCGCTTCCGATCAATGGCCATGCAACACACCGCACTTTCCAACAAAACCCCCTCTTGAAGAAAAAATTAATTCGCTGCAATGCTCTCAACCTCACGTTACGTGGAACCTCGCTAAAGCATATATCGCACTATTTATCTGCCTTGCGACAAAGGCAATACATTTGGAGTTAGTAAGCGACTACTCCACTCAAGCCCTTTTAAATGCTTACTCTCGATTCTGCGCTCGTCGCGGCCTCCCGCACTCCATGTATTCAGACAACGGGACAACATTCGTCGGGGCGGACCGAGAAATGACCGTCGTTTACCGGTCAGCATTACGCGATCCGAACTTTCTGAACTTGACTGCCTCCAATAACGTGTCGTGGAATTTTATTCCCCCGTCTGCTCCGTACTTCGGCGGATTGTGGGAGGCGGGCATACGGAGCGTCAAAACTCATTTGCGCCGCGTGTTAGGGAATCACATGCTCACATTCGAGGAATTCTCGACTTTGCTATGCAGAATCGAAGCGTGTCTTAATTCTAGGCCGATTGCGCCCCTCTCCGATACGCTTGAGGACTACGAGGGTCTGACCCCCGCTCACTTCCTGATCGGAGTCGCTCTTACTGTAAACCCGGAACCATCATTGCTCGATCTCCACGAAAATCGTCTTTCGAGGTGGCAGCTCGTCCGACACGTTACCGAGCGATTTTGGAAGCTATGGAGTAACGATTATTTAAATACGTTACAACAAAGAGCAAAATGGCGAAAGGTCAAGCCACCGATCAAAACCGGGCAACTTGTCCTGTTGCGAAATCCGCTGTTACCCCCCTGCAAATGGGAGTTGGGCCGAGTGACACACTGTCACCCCGGCTCCGACGGCTTCGTACGGGTCGTCACCGTCAAGACGGCCACCTCCGAATTCAAAAGACCGATTATTAAACTGTGCGTATTACCGGTCAATAGTGAGGCAACAAGCAATTAGACTCCTTCGCCGCGTTGCGTTTCATTACTGTACATTATTAGATTAAGCTCAAAATTGTCAAGATGCGAGCGTCATTCCGCCAAGGCGGGCGGCAAATTTAGCGCGTCAAACTACGTCGCGTAACTTGTCGTCTTTTCGCTCATGTTGTTACTTGTGGCGTGCGCTCTTGTCGTTTCATGCAATGCTGTATCGATTATTTTGGAACTATCGTTCCAAGGCGGGCGGTATGTTCAAAATTGAAACACTAAAATTTCGTTTCTAAATTTTGCCGTTATATTCAAACGATTGCCTCAGAAACCAAAACACGAACGAGAGCCAAAAGCGTCGCGATCACCCGCTCGGTGCGTGATCGCGTTATTCTAACGTGACAAACACCTGGTTCGAGAACGTTCGATACCGAAAAAACTTGTTATTCACATCGGCACAGCGCGAGTTTCCGCGGTCGATCGATTTAGTCTGCCTACGACAACGATTCGAGCCGGTCGAAATTCATCGACTTTTCGCATTCGCATTTCGCTTATTCTCGCTCGTGTCGCGTACGCAGTAGGCTTACTCGTCTCAAATTCGGTCCGAATTGTCTCGCATAATATCGCACTCATATTCTCGCGGCGAGCAAATTGGTCACATCTCAATTCGTTCTTTCATTATTTAGTGTTCAGATATTGTGAAAGTTAATTGTTTTGAGTTCGAGAGTCGACGCTCGTTATCCGCATCGCGAATGTCCTCTGCCTCGCGCTAAATTCCATCCAGCGTTCGCGATGAAGATTTCCGTTCTCGCGAGAGTTTCTAGCAAGAAGCTCTTAATCAAGATTTCCGAACCGCGAAAAAG